AAGTGTTGAGGGTTAGGTCTACGTGGTGAGGTGGTGGAGGCTACCTACTTGTGCGCAATGTTGACCCTGTCCATGCTATGGGGTCCACTCCTCCGTTTTCTGTTTCCTTTGGGATTCGATCGAGCTTGTGGCATGGGTGTTACCATGCGGTCTGGTGGGTCCACACAAGCATATATAGTAGAACAGCAAGCCGATATTGATAGAAAGTTGGCTAAGAAGAAGAAAGAGGAGGAGAAAAAGAGAAAGAAAGAGGAGGAGATAAAAGAAAAATCGCAGCAGGAAAGGAAAAAGATGGAGGAGGAGAAAGAAAAGATGGAGAAAGAGATGAAGAAGATGGAAATATAAATGAAAAGAGAATTGGAAGAAGAAGAGGAGAAAAAAGGAGGAGGAGGAGGACTAGAAAGAAGAAGGACCAGACCAGAAGGGGAGGAGGTGGCTTAGAGCAACCATGCCGGGTAGTTGAGACTTCGGCAAGTTGAAGATATAGACTGGGTGGCGAAATTTGGGTATCATATAGAGATGCCAAATGAGACGGAGCAAGAAAAAAATGCATTTACCATCATGATGGCATCTGCGGCAGATGATGACGAGAGAGTGATATTGTTAGAGGAGAGGAGGAGCACCCTTGACCAGCGTTTGGTTCAACAAAAAAGGAAGGAGTACGAAGAGAAGAAGAAAGGCAAAGGCTTCAAGCCTTGCTGAAAGAGCAGAAAGGGAAAGAACTTGATGTCAAGGAAATTTTGGGCTTTCTCACTGACGCACTGCTGCACACCACCCAAGAATTGGCTGCGCTACAGAGATCCGTTGGGAAAGTAGAACGGTGTCAGGAAGAGTTCCAGGGCACATGGAACAACTTTCTTAGCGCTTCCTCCCACATGGTAGACAAGAGGATCCTTACTACGCCCATCAATTAGGCGAACATTTCACGCAAAAACTGAAGAATACCATTACATTCGTAGTCTTAGGAGGTGGCGATGGTGGGGGTGATGGTGGAGATGATCGCGATGATAAGAAAGGGAAAGGTCCGAAGAAGGAGAAAAGTGAAGAAGATAAGTCTGAGGGAAGAGGACGAACGGAGAAGATGAAGGCAACGCTCCCTTGGACGTACACAGGGAAGAGGGAAGAGAGTCTTTTTCATTGGGAGGCGGCGATGGACACATACTTGTACGCGTAGTTGATTTCGTATCGGGACCGCGTACTTATGGCAAGTTCGTGCCTCGGGGGAGACACAGCTAGCTTCGCTATTTCATTAGTCAAGCTTTGCTATTTCGTTAGTCAAGGAGGCAGGTTGTACCTCGATGGTGCAGTACTCTCAGCGGATGAGGATCGATGACTTCTTCAAGGCCTTGAAATACGGCTATGAAGATAAGAACTTAGTGCATCAAACGAAACACCTCATCCTCATCATTAGCGACCACAAGTGGAAGAGTCCGTCGACACTCAAGGCCACTATGGACGAGCTGCTGCAATGTCCGGATCATGGACTATGGACCCGCCCAAATACTTAACAACTTTGCTAGAGTGCTGCCAGAACCCATCAAGACTCGGTTATATCTTCGCACCAAGGAAGAGGGGATGGACTACGATAAGTTCAGCAAAATAGATGTGGATTATGTCGGGTTGCAAGAGGCAAACTATTGCCATTATTGGAAGGACCTGCAAGCCGGTAAAAGATGGAAAAACAGAACCAAATCCGGCAGTATAGAAGGCAAAGATAGTCTTTTGGTCACCTTTGAAGAAGGAGGCGTAGAGTCCTTGTCGTATGATTAGATAGACTACGGTTTGGACGAGGACAAGACAGGTAGCCTGGGGAGGGGACAATGCAGCAGTTGCAGCCCATGGGGGAGGGCGACAAGGACAAGGTGGAGGTCGAGGACCCGCTGCCCAGAGGGCTGGTGGCAAAGGAAGCTACTACGTGGGAGGTAGAGGTTGTGGTCCCTCGCAAGATGGTAGAGGTTCTCCCTTCGTAGGGGGTAGAGGAAGAGGTAGAAATTGGCGGCCATTCCAAGCACACCCAGGGATAGCTGAAGGCAAACCTTGGGAACACATGGGTATAGACGAGAAGGTCTGGGAGGAACGTCGCAAGGCCAACCAATGTTCTAAGTGCGGTGACCTCGACCACATCATTCCCTTCTGTTCTGAACAAAGATACCCAAAAGGGAACAGCCAGTAGAGGTTGCAGTTGCCTGTACGGGGACTTCGGGAATAGACAGGAAGATAGAAGCGCGCGCTGAATGGGCACCCTCCTGTTCGAAGGTCCCAATGACAGAGACTGATGTAGGCCCCCACCTAGCTAGATGTCCAAAGGTTGCTTATGTTAGGACCCCTCTAGGTGGCTCCCTCGCAAGCATTGGTGATGAGTTGATCACTCGTCGCTGCACTTGGGCTGAAATGAAGAAGAAGTCAAAGGGGCAGCTAATAATAGTAGATGTTGAGGTAAGTAGAGAAAGGATAGGCGCGTTAGTAAACAGCGGGTCATCACGCAGTTCTATAAGTCGCAGAGGGTTGCAGAAGATGCACCTAGGGATGAACGTAAAGAAGTTAGATGAGCCAGTCATTAGTAAGTTGGGCGATAATAGAGAGATGATAGTATCCGAGTATGTTGAAGGGTCAAGGCATGCTTCCCGTTGGAGGCAAGGGGCAAGGTGGATAAAGTTTTGTACTCCTTGATATCCTTCCGGTTGGGTGAGCACAAGTGCTGGCTGCCCAGTCCCGCAGGTTGGAAAAAGAAGTTGCGTTTGTATCATGCATCCTGCATAGAGAGTAGTATGTCCCTTTGTTGTATGAGTGCCGCGTTCGCCATGCACGTGGTCAAGAATGACCTTGTTGATGAAGTATTTGTTGCCTATGTGAGACCGGTTAGTGAAGGGAAAAGGTTTGAAGTGCCCACACCACCCAATGTGTAGAATCTTTTAGACGAGTTCGCTGATGTGGGAGAGGGTCCAAGTGGAGTAGTGGAGAGGGAGACCAAGCACCAGATAGATATAAAACCCGGTAGGCGGATTCCCAAGGGCCCCATCTATCGAATGTCTCCCAAAGAGCTCAATGAGTTGCACAAACAGTTGGAAGAGCTAATAGGAAAAAGGTGATTAAGCCTACTTCCTCGCCGTATGGTGCACCGGTCTTGTTTGTGACAAAGAAAGGAGGCAATTTGCGCATGTGTATAGATTGTAAGGGCCTTAATGCAATTACAATAAAGAATGCAGAGCCATTACCACGAATAGACGATCTCCTAGATAGAGTGCAGGGTTGCAAGTTCTTCTCAAAGATAGACTTGAAGCCAGGCTACCATCAGATTGAGGTATTGCCTGAGGACTAGCACAAGACGGACTTTAGAACTCGATATGGCCACTACGAGTCCATGGTCATGCTGTTTGGGTTAACTAACGCCCCGACTACCTTTTAGCGATGTATGAATGAACTCTTTCGTGATTGGTTAGACAAATTCATTGTTGTATATTTGGATGATATTCTGATTTTTACCAAGTCGCTAGAAGAACACGAGCAGCATCTTCGGTTAGTGCTAAGCAAGTTGCGCGAAGTTGTCTTTAAGTTGAACCCAAGAAGTGTGACTGGGCCAAACGCCAGGTGCTGTATTTGGGACATTGTTGGATGGAGATGGAATCAAACCGGAAAACACTAAGATAGCGGCAATCAGAGATTGGCCGACGCCACGTACGTTGACGGAACTATGGTCGTTCCTTGGTCTCGCCAACTATTACCGCAAGTTCATACGAAACTTTACTTTAATAACTGCTTCAATGCGTAGGTTGTTGAGGAAGGAAACAGTCTGGAAGTGGGATACGGACTGTACCGCCCTGAAGCGTATGAAAAAGTGCTTGATAGAGTATCCGGTTCTAAAAATCGCAGATCCATCCTTGTTGTTTATAGTTACCATTGACGCTAGTCAATACAAGATAGGTGTTGTACTCCAACAAATGACGGCAATGGGTACAAACCTGTTGAGTTTATGTCCTGTTGACTGCCTAGTGAGAAGGTCGCCGCTTCCACGTACGAGAGAGAGTTATTCGCTCTTAGAGAAGCCTTCCATTGGCAACATTACCTCCTAGGACGGCATTTCAAAGCATATTCAGACCATGAGACACTTCACTGGCTAAAGACCCAAGCCCGGATGGCACCTAAGTTAATAAGATGGGCTGGGGAGATACAGTCGAAGGGAGATACAATGTCGTTGATGATGCACTAAGTAGACAGGCTGACTTTTTCGGTGCCATAGTGACGTACTTAGACGCCGGCGCCGAGTTGCAAGCGAAGATTGGATCCACCTATGTGAGTGATCTAGTCTATAGTCAATTGATCAATAAGGTGCAGACGACACCACACAAGGTTCCGGACTTTAGGATGGCACAAGGGCTGTTGTTTGAGAAGACGGGCGTGCACGACAGACTGTGCATACCAAACAATTAGGAAATTCACAGTCTGATTCTAGGGGAATGCCACAATACCGAGGGACATTTTGGTTGGAGGAAGACGTATGCTAACCTCCCACGTTCCTACACGTGGGTTGGAATGAAACATGATTGTATAGCCTACGTGCAAGGCTGCAAAGTGTGTCTGAGGAACAAGAGTTCCACGCAGCCTCCCCTTGGTTTACTTAAACCGTTGCCTATACCGTTGGGTCCTGGAGACCCCGTGTCTATAGACTTTATTGACATTAGAAGTGGAAATGGGAAGAGCCAAGTTATGGTAATAGTGGACAGATTTAGCAAGTTTACTGTTTTTGTACCACGACCTGCTAACTCGGGAGTTCTTTAATCATTGGGTAAAAGACTACAGGCATCCCTTGACTTTTGTAAGTGATAGGTATACACGATTCCCCGGCGAGCACTGGGAACAGCTCATGAACGTCTATGGGTCCAAATTGACTGTCTTCGGGCAGACATCCTGAGACAAATGGACAAACCGAGCAGATCAACAAAGTGCTACAGCAAGTGTTGCGTATGTACATCAGATTGACTGGGATGAACATCTAGCTAAGGTCGCTAGTGCCTATAACAACTCTGTGCATTTAGCTACAGCAAGAACACGCACTGAACTGCATTTGGGTTGGCGCCCACACAGGCCCATTGACTGTCTGAACCCTGATCAAGTGCAAAGGCTTCCGCCAGGGACTAGAGAGTTCGCTGTACAGTATCAGAAAGACTTAGAAAAGGTACGGGAGAACATCAGGAAGGCACATCATCAGATGATAGAACAAGCAAATAAACACCGCAGACCTTCGCAGTTCACTGTAGGGGATGTGGTCTGGGTGAAGTCTAAAGAGTTTCTCCCAGAGGAGAACATCTCGCAGAAGTTATTGCCTGCGTATAGGGGACCGTGGCAGATACTCGGCGTGATTGGTGATGTGGATGGTCCTTCCTACGTTGTTGAGATTCCTCCACATTTGCACACTTACCCGGTGTTTCATGCCTTGCTCCCTTGTGTCAGTAATGAGCTATTTCCGTCTCGAAGATCTGTGGTTCCTCCTGATATGGATGGCAACTATGACGTGGACCGCATCGTCGCAGTGGATGTTTATAGATCTGGACGCAGGGGTGGGCCCCAGCGACAATATAAAGTTATATTTGCTTATCAAGAGCCTTTGGAAGATTGCTGGCTTACCAGAAATGAGCTGGTGGAGACAGCACTGCACATAGTGTCGTACTATGAGAGAGCTAGATGAGGAATCAACATGGTTGATAGGTAAAGATTGTAACTTTCTCGGAGGACCTCGAAATTGGGTCGGCGAGAGTTAAAGGCATTCCACGATGCAGACCCCAAATTTGAATCTCAGGGTCAAAGTCCCCAGGCCAAGAGAGGCCAGGTCGGCCAATTTCAGTCAGTAAGCTTAAGTCGGGTACCCGAGAAGTCAAGTCCAACAGGTACCCGGTCAACAGTCACGTCCAAGAGGCAAAAGTTACATCCGTAGGCAAAAGTCACGTCTCACAGTCAAAGGTCGTGTCCCAGAGGTCAAAATTCGATATTCCATAGGCAAGAGTCATGACCAACCGACAAAGGTCACGTCCCACAGACCCAAAACAGCAGCACACCAAGGAAAACTCAGGTAGTTACCAGGCCTCGACATTCTGAAGCAAACCGGCCGCGGGCATGTGGTACCGGTTCCAAGTCAAGCCAAAGGAAGCAGAGGCTGGGACGAGTAAAGGCTCAGTCCAAGTCAATATAAGGACTGGCCAGCCTCGTTTTGGACAGATGGCTCATTCGTGAGAAGTGTGGAAGTGCTGCTGAGGCGCTTGTGCGCTATCTGCGAGTAGCATGCGCGAGAGCCCTGGCTGGGCAGCGCTGTGCTGAGAGGAAAGGCGGCCATAGCCGCATAGCTAGCAGTAGGGGATAGAGCCGAGTAGTAGCGGGTGTATCCACAGTCTAGATCTTCAAGTAGAGAGAGTGAGAGGGGGAGATTGAGCGCATGCATGAGGAAGACTGAGAGAGAGAAGGGGGACAGAGAGGGGGAGAGTCACCTACCTGGATGAGGATGTTGGATATGGGTTGCTGAACTCTACGGTGTTGAGCGCTTGTGACTAGAACTCTGAAACTGTTTAATATGATAATTTGTTGGAATTTCTGAGATGCGCTTACCTGGACTTTGCGAGTGGCCTCTCATTGTGTGTGTGTGCTCAAGGTGACGAGCAGTGAGGCCCAATGCAACGGGCGCCTGGGACCCCAACTTGTGCCCAGATACACGCCTGGGTGCCAGGTCGGGCATGACCTCCAGGCGGAGTTCCGGGGATCCCCAACGCCAAAGGAAAAAAAAAAAAAAAAACAATTCAAAAAATTCCAGGAAAGGTAGTTGTGTAGAGTTGCAATATAGACGACTTTTGGCTGAGGGTCACATCAGAAATCCTCACGGAATCGAAGATAAACAAGAAAACAACAGAATCAGACTAAGGCACCCCCATTTACACCCCTTTAGCCCCTTAAAAACCAATTTATACCCCCCTTGCCCCCCCTTGACTGCGAATGCTTGAAAACAGAAAGGAGCCCGGATTTGGGCTCCTCTGCCCATGCACAGAAAACCTCCACGCAAAAGGGAAAATGGCTGATTTTGCCTGCCTGGGGTGCCCTCTGCAAGTGACCGGCAGGCCCCTTGATGGGGCTGCACATCCGGGCGAGCCAAGTGACCTAGATTAATAGTTTATCAAACCAACACGACTACCACCCTGACTACCTATCAGGAGGCCTACCCATTTTCAGTTGAGACCATTGGATTGACCATCAGATGGGCACAGGTTCCGTTCTTTGTTTGTTTATTGGACTTTTTTTCCTGTCTATAAAGGTCAGCCAGATTTCTTTTTCTTTAACACCTTAGAATTTCATTACAAATGGACCTAGTGCATAAGGCAACACATAGTATGAAGCTATGAGCAGAAGAAATTCCACACCCGGAGGTCAACCGGTGTTACATCTTCGATGCCACACGGGTCCTACCGGACCCGACTTAGGGCCGGAGGGACACACCAGGGCCTAAAGGCCCGACCTTGAGGGTCACAGGCCCTAAAGGCCTGATTTTGCACTCAGCCCAGTGGGTAGGCCCAAACGACAGTTTGTTTGGGCCTGGCGGCTCTCTTGAGGCTGCCACCCGCCGAAGGAGGCTGAACCGTCCATCTGGACGGTCCAGGGTCTGGCTTGGCCTCGCAGCATTGRGGCCAGACCATGGCCTACCGGTATAAGTACCGGTACCTGCCTCATTCTGAGGCATCGAACCACCGGCACTCTACCGGTGCGTTATGGTCAGCGCCAGAGCGCTGTTTGACGCGCTAAACCTAGCGCAGGGGCTGAAGCAGGAGCGCAGCATAGCGCGGATTTGCGCAGCAGCGAGCGGAGCAGCGGCAGGGCGAYTGAGCCAGCACGGCGGCCATTGCCGCCTGAGGTACTGGGAGCTTGGAGGATCTCTCCTCCTCTCCCTCGCCAGTCCCCTCTCTCTCTCTCTCTCTCCTCTTCTCCTCCT